GAACGTTAACAACTCCTGCCGAATGTAACTTGATGGTTTCACGCGAGGCAAGAGAATATTGCTGAGAGAGGTGGGACAACACAGCGTGAAAAGAAATCGCGCGTGTAGTTATCGAGAAGAAAAATAAAGCAAAAGAAGAATTATCGGAGGATTTCGGGGGACTCTGAAAATAAAGTTCGAAGGGTGACGATATGCGCATGTGTGCGTGAGGTTGTGCAAGATCTCCCTCCCTATCTTTCTTCGCGTACATCCTGTAGTTGGCGTCACAACGACTCACGCGCGAGCTGACATCGGAATAAATTAGGTGGTCCCCGGGATACCGGTATCACCGGGCCGCCGCGTCCTCCTTCCGTCCTTTACCGTCCTTTTCCGTAACGCGTCTCCCACACGCGAAGAGCGTGGAACCAGTTTCGGTGAATATTCGAACGAATTCTCCAAGAGGGAGACACGCGGCGGCCTCTTCGCTTGGTACAATGAGACGAAAATCATCACTGGGTCGTGGTGCCCGAAAGAGATCCTCAGCGGAATCCGCGAACTCTGGTAGAGCTGAACGTTGCAAAAACCTCGACCTATTAAATGCACGGAGAACATTTTATAGTTATTGACAATGAGATTTTCGTAGTAAGAATTTTGCAATCGAGGAATAGATCGGTATTATGCAGTAATTTACTGTCCTTTCATTTGCGCTATTTATATTTTAAGGACTGAAATGTGCGCTGTTGAAATGTTCTTAGAGAAACATAGTAAAATTCTAGCGAGAAATTGTTTCTTTGGCAAAGTAGATTTTACTGACAGAAAATTGTGAAGAATTACGATGAAGAGAAACTATAATGTATTCGTACTGTGCGATTATTCAGTATACAAAGCGAATGATGATGTTGCTGTGCTAACAGAGCGCGCGGGAGAGAAAGTGCACGGCAACGGAACTTTCTTTGGAAAATCGGCGTCTTCCGGTTGATCTGCCTTTTCGCGGACTTTCTAACTAGGAGATCCCGGCGCTCCTATCTTTATTGTCGGCTTGCGAGCAAAACGATTAATCGTGAATGAAAGACCTTCCCGGTCCTCCCTCTCCTTCTTTCTCTTTCTCACGAATTTCAACATCGGCGACTGCACGGGAAACGCGAAGAAGGCCAAAGAGGAGTCTTCGGCAAATCCCATGACGCAATTCCACGACCACAAAAACGTAAATTGAAATGGCGCGCTTCATTAATATTTTAATAATACACGCGCAAATACAGAGGAGACGCGAGCATATCCTCGCGAATAAATTCGCCGCGATCGAATTTCACGAGAAATGTCGGAAATTGCGGCGCGCAACGCATTTACTTTCGTAAATAATCGTTCTTTGTCGAACATTGTGGGCACACACAGCTGAATAGAGAAACGAAAAGACTCGTTTTGTCGACAGAAGTGCTCAGCTGCGAATATTTTTCGGCCGTGACCGATTGAAAAAGAGGACTTTCGGTGAATCGCGCTTTGAGAATGCCAATAGACACCGCGTGTGTTATTTTTTGACTTACTGTCGACGAATTTTACCTCGTCAGAACAATTACCCATGCAATTTCTAGTTGCACAGCTTTGAAGACTGAAGCGCGAAGAAGAATGTCGTACACGAAGAAAATTTTATAGTGCAAATTACTATGAAATGGAGGAATAGATTGACATTACTTGCAGTAATTGACTATCCTTCTATTTTAGAAAATATTTATTCGGTGAGTAATAATAATCTATACTGAAATCGAAATTTCTTATTTAACTAGATTAAATGATTGCTTTTGTGTAAAGTTAACGTTTCAAGAAAATATATATTCTCTTATTTGGAACATATTTTATATATTAGTACATATAAAAATGTGTTGTTATCGTATCCATCGAAAAAATATTTTTTATTTCTTAGATTTGTTTCTCTCAATGTAGAAGAAGGATTTATATGGAATTTGTATAGAAGAAGGAAAGAATTTCTTATATGAAAAAAGCTATAATATTCTCTCCGTGTATCTAATTAAATTCTGATGAAAAGGCGGGATTATGGTTAGTCCAAGACGTCGATTTCACCGGATGTCGCGCGTGAGAAGGACATCCGGCAGAATCGGATCGGGAGGTCCCGATTTCCACCACTCGACCGGGACACTCACGTGTCCCGTTCGCGTACTCCACGTATACGACGATGTCGTCGTCGTAGTCGTCGTCAATTCTTGGCGTGTGCCCGATACGTTACGTTAGATCCGGGAGTGGTGGGCGACGATGCAAGGTTGTCGAGAAATTCATCGTGGCACGCCATGCACCGTCGCCGCGCTGGCTCGCTTTTGGTTTCGAAATCCGACGAGCGATACCCAATTTTCGAGCGGCTCCCGGATCTCCGGGCTTTCGGACAGCAGACTGCGTGTCCCCTGTCTTGGCAGTCGATTTTTGACTCGCGGAAAAACCACGTAATCTAATTACATAAGTGATTTTGTGCGATCGGTTTTTCACTTATTTCTCTTTCTCATAATTTGCGTTATTATTTATTGCAAAACAGTGTCACTGTTTTCCACTCTGCGAATATTCTGCAATATTCTGCCATATTCCGGGAGAGGATCCTCGAAATCTCTCTTTATATTTGCGAATTAAATTTCGTTTTATTTCGAAGTAACAGCGCGTGCATTTTTTAATTAGGAGAAACAGGTACTTTTTATTTAAAGATCGAGGGCACTGAGCCTCTGAGTTTCCATGAAATCCGTTCTTATTATGCAATTCTCTTCGGCTCCTCATCTCAAGAAACGCGTGCGGTGCAAAAATCCTCGTTGTCATTTTGCACCTGTAACATTACGTCGTTGTGCCGGTGGAACAAGCGACCCTGATGACCGCTGTGATGTCTGTCTGTCTGTGTCTCTCTCTTTCTCCTCTCTCCCTCCGTCTCGCGTCTTTCTACTTTCACCTGGATCTCCGCTAATGGTTACATCCGCCAACCTGGGAGAGCTATGCCCCATTTACGATAATTTCTCGAGCCGGAGACGAGTCGCGGCGCGCGAATTTTCTTACGCGGCTCTCTCGCCGAGTATTTTTAGCCGCGATGTTATACCGCGTTCAGAAAAAGTATAATCGGCAAGTAAAACGTATTCTCGGATAGACGTCGGGGAAATAACACAGAATATCTCGAAGAACAAGAAGGTGATCGTGGAATTGTTTTAGACGGACTTAAAGTTGACTTTTGCACGCGATAAAAGCCGGCTTCTGTTATCGTGTAGTGCCTCAATTTTTAATATATTTTTATATAATTGAATTGGTATTGTGTGTATTTAATTAAATCGACGTGTTTTTCAGTTTCGTACTTTACAAAAGAGTGGCATTCGAAATTCTATCAGCCATCTCCGATCTGCCGGCGAGATCTCGCGTGAAATCTGGCTTCCCCCGGCGAAACCGACGACATCTGCGATAATTTATCGGCTGGAGAAAAATCCGCCTCTTCCAACATACCCGTAATGATTTTCTCCGGTGTCCGTGCTGGAAACGGATACGTGTACCAATCGGGTTACAGCCAAGTTAAACAATCGGCGCTGGGAAAAATGGATAATGGCGGGTTAGACGGCACATAAAGAGTAACGAGGACTCGGTTAAGTAACGGAACGTAAGCGCACGATGAGAGAAATAGTGCCGTCAAGTGGAATACGGATCGGTTGTTATTTGCTTGTCGGCGCGTATTGCCCGCTGCAGCAACTCGCAAATCGCTCGTTTCCGCGTTGTTCCGCGTTTATTGGCACCTAGGCACACCGCGAGAGGCAAGCTCTCTAAAGTGAAGGTATTAACATATCGATACCGGTGCTCCCAAGTGTCGATATCTATTTCCAGGACTGATAGACTCCGGCAAAATTGTCATGCAACATCGAGCGACGTTGCAAAAGAAAATATGCGGGTAGGGAGCAACATATTTCTCGTAAAGTGACGCGGATAAAGTTACACCTCTCGACGACATTTTTTTTTAGTTGTTGTCGCGCGTTTCTGATTTTTTACAATTGTTGGAATATTTTGACCATGAAGAGAGGATACGGGGAACGTACACGCATTGTATCGGGAAGAAATCTGAATATATATATTCAGGCACATCCGGCGATATATCACCGGCATAATAACAAGGCGGTCGCCGCAATAGCGCGAGATGGAGGTACCTGCCCACGCGGATGCGTTCAGAAAAATGACGACGCGCGTGCATGCGTGCGTGCACGTACAATGGGTATAGCAAAATGGTTTAGGCACATTGATGACTTTCAAAATTAAGAGTCACTACTCACGGCCTTCCCCAGTAATTGTATTATTAATTATTATTACGACTAATTATTATATTAGTATTATTATCATTTATTATCATTTAATGTTCACAATTATATTATTAGGCAATTATATTATTATTTTGCGTACTCATAATGACTTTCAATTTTCATAGTTTGTTGAGCTCCCGACTTCATTTAACCGTTCTGCAATCCACTATGCTACACGCGTAGCCAGGGACGAATAACTCTGGAGAAAGAATCTTTGACGGAAAAAAGATATTAGCAGCCAAAAAGATGTTAAATTTGTTTGCCTGTCGCAAAATAGTTTCGTGAAGTCCCGTTGAGACGATTGGATTGAATACACTTGCCTCTCATTAGTTTCTGTTACTCATCGATCCCGCCCTTACGTGCAATCTTAGATCAGCGAAATTCTCATTTACCGGCTGCTGCGCTTTCGTACGCGCGCGCCCGTTCCCGCTTCTCGTTCCTCCTTCCTGTGCATCAGATAAAATCAGCAGTGCGCACAAGACTGATGCCAACGCATCAGCCCCGAAGGAGATCCGCAAGTTCCTCGTATTTCCTTCGTCAGTGGCGTCAGCGGCAAAATTTGGACGTCTCCTTTGGACAGACGTTTCAATTTCAATTAGAAATTTTTCTCACGCACTTCATGATTTGTCAGCTGAACGCAAAAATCTTTCGAATGCACCGGAATTGATGTACAATAAGCAACTTCATCACGTTCGTATTTCACAGAGATACGTGGACTGCACAGTGCTGGGGGCGGGCAGCGTGCCAGACGCCGAGGACTCCTCGTACGACAGCGATTACGAGGCTGAGGACTCGACTACGTCGACGGCGGCGACGACCGCGACGGCGACGGTGCCCCGTCCGCGCTCGGAGTCGCAGGTGTCCTCTGTGGCGCACCCGGACGTGTCCCGCACCGCGTCTGACACCCTGGCGGCGGAATTCGCCGAGTACGTCACCATCCAAGGACCTTCGCCCACGCAGAGTCCAGGTATTAACTGCCGCTTGATTCGCTTAGTGCTCTTTGATTCTTAGCAGATATATCACGCGAGGATCTTTTAGATCTCTGCAGATTAAAAGTTTCTTGCACGCTGGACTTTTCCTTCTCAAAACGATCGGTCTTCGAAATGCGTATAGCTGCAAGGAAGATCGATTACATTGAGATGCAGTCGATTCTCTTATCGACTCCTATTCTTATAGGTTTCTTATCGAAATCTTAGAAACACATATCCATCGCATTTCTTCAAGCGAGACGTTTATGCAAAATCGTGCATCCTGAAAGAAAAACTTCTGTCTAGGTTACACCGCTCGCGTGGAGTTCGCGCTGAAACTGGGCTACACCGAGAAGCTCGTGCAGGCGGCCTTACAGAAGCTGGGCCCAGATCCTGGTCAGAACGAGCTGCTGGCCGAGCTGATTAAACTCGGAGCTACTTGCTCGCCAAGACTCAGCGATAGTCCGGAGGAGCCTGATGGACTGTTGGATACCGAGATGGGTACCGACGAGGGCGGAGGGTCGATCTTGACGACGGCGATGACGATGAACACGACCTCGTCGGCGGGCCTGAGGCCCGTCGTCATCGACGGCAGCAACGTCGCCATGAGCCACGGCAACAAAGAGGTCTTCTCTTGCCGCGGCATCAAGATCTGCGTGGATTGGTTCCGCGCCAGAGGCCACAAGGAGATCACCGTCTTCGTGCCCAAGTGGCGGAAGGAGGCCTCCAGGCCCGACAATCCGGTCGCCGATCAAGAAATCTTGGGTGAGCTTGAGAGGGATCGTCTGCTGGTCTTCACGCCTTCCAGGTTGGTATTGTGTTGAGATTCGTTTCAATTTGGAGGCTCTACCTCGAAACCGGTACATACGTAAATGCTACACCGGCTCTCTCGACGATGTCGTCGTATTAAACTTGTTCACGTGTGTGCGAAAACTAGAGACGCTATTCTTCTGTTTCAACGTTGATACATTGTTTGTCGGATATTCGAAGCAGTTATGATAATATCACGTGGAGAAGCTGCGCAAAAGATACAGTCATATAAGCGTAAAAATACAATACGTTTGAGCGATAAATTAAGAATACCTGTAAACAAGAAATTACGGACGTGTGCGATAAAAAAACCAAGATTTAAGACTGAGATTCGAGGTCTCAGTGGACACGGAGAGGCGAAAGATGTCCCTCGTTCCAGCACCTGGACTTGCTTTGCCACTGGCTAATATTATCCAGAGCTGGAATAACCGGCCCCACGTTGATCTATCCGCGCGAACTTAAATCGTCTCAAGGATCTCTCCTTCTTCCTTTCTTCTTTTTCTTCTTTATGCCACCGCTTCCCTCGGTTATCCTTTTTCCAGAAACAAAAGTGAATCATCATTTGACAGAGCGATTCGCGAAATATTATTCTGATTTGTGAACGAATAAATCAACAAATGCATAATTAAAGTGTCGTTGAATCTGTAAACGCGATAATCTACTGCAACGATAGACAATACAAATCGACACATGTATTAATTTTAAGCGCAACAAGTTTAAAAAATTCGGAGAAAAGTCAAGTTAAGTCTAATTTTTATAATGATTGCACTTTGACATCACGCAAATTATTCGCAATGTGATCATTTATAATTATGCTACTGTAATATAATTTCCTTGATTGTTGCCACGGCACAAGGTCGTTGAAGATCCCTCTGTTCCGGTCTATTTCTGAGAGAGAGAACATGTTATCCGCAGATTGGTAGGTGGGAAGCGCATGGTGTGCTACGACGACCGATACATCCTGAGGCTCGCCGCAGAGGTCGACGGCATCGTCGTTAGCAACGATAACTACCGGGACTTGGCGCAGGAGAATCCCGAGTTCAGGAGGGTCGTCGAGGAAAGGATCCTGATGTATAGCTTCGTGAACGACCGATTCATGCCGCCGGATGATCCGCTCGGCAGGAGCGGCCCTACGTTAGAAAATTTCCTCAGGATCGCGCCGAGGAAGGTCGACCCGGCGCCGCCGTGTCCTTACGCCAAGGTTACATTTTTTACAGTTTTGATTCTACTTATGAATTTAAAGTCCTTACATTTTTCAGATTATCTAGACTGACGATTGCAATTTAAATTCTTCTTTTTTGTTAAACTACTAAATTTTCGAAATCGATATCTTCAATCTTCTAAGATTTTTTTCTTTTTTAAATTAATCAAATTAAACTGCGGGTAGAATGAAGTTTGCGTGCAGTTAAAATGTTAACAATTCATTTTTGATTTTTTCAAATTCCTAAGACATAATTTTTCTTTTATTTTTCATATTGGTGTTAAGTCGTGTTGAATTCGCAGAAATGCACGTACGGCAACAAGTGCAAGTTCCGACATCCAGAGAGAGGACCACACCCACATAAGTCCGTGACAGAGCGACTGGTGGAACACGCCCAGCGTCACCTGCAAGCCCGTGGGCCCAGTCTGAGCCTGCCGCTGCCATCCACAACGTCCGTCTCTCCGCAGCACCCGCCGCTCTGTAAGACCAGGTCGTCGGTGCCGCCGAGCGTCGTTCAAACCTTGTCGTCCGTGCCGAAGAGTCGATCCGTAGAGAACGTTACGTCTGACTTGTCCACAACTAGTCCCGCCATGTATAGCCAACAAATGCCCCCTGCCCAGAGTCCTCAAGGTAACAGATAGAATAACATGAAATAGAATAAATAATTTATAAATAATTTACAAGTAGTTTTTCACGAAAATCAAAAGTACATATTCAAGAAAATTGAGAAATTATTTTCTTTCTTCCATTCTTCTTTCAATCGTCATTTCTTCTTTCAATCGTCAAATATATTAGTATTGTTAATTTTACTAATTGTTATAGCTTATCCCTCCGCAATGGGCTGGGCTGCGTCGAGAGTGAGCAATCCCGAGCCAGAACCGGCGAATATGCATCGCAAATTGCAGCGACAGCTGACTTTAAACCCTGCATGCGACCCACGTCTTTATCAGCTCAGACGATACCATCAGCAACAGCAAGCAAGCCAACCGCCGCAACAGCAGCAACAGCAACAGCCAGTTATTAATCCCTCGCGCTCTAGTATGCAACATCGGCCGTTAACGAGACACGCCAGCAACGAGTCGTCGTATCCAGTTACTGCTATGAGGCAAGTCCGACGAACATCTTTGCCGATTTGTAACACAATATTAGCAAGACACGCATTTTTATTTGATCTCTAGTATAACTTAATTTATTTTAGAATTAACTAAACGGGTTCTGTAGTTTTAATTATCTAATTCCCAATAATTTAATCGTAACTAATTTACAAGTATATCAATTCGAGATTTTTTAAAAATTGAAAATATAACAATCAAAACGTCTCATATTATAATTATGACTCTTAAAGAGTCAAAATGAATTCGAAAAATCAAAGTGAACTGAATAAATTATCGGGGAATTTTTTTGCACCTAGTTGGGACCATACCGAACGACTTCAACATCATCACCAGCACGTGACACGCATCGCCTCCGCTCCGGACTCGTACAGAGCGTGGCCGCCGTGCGGCGCAGCCCTGGTACCACCGCCGTCGCGGGTGCAAAGGCTAGGTACCTCGGACCCCCAATTGAATCTATTACCGTCACCGCCGTCCGCAAGCTTACACGTGCCTTGGGGCACACAAGCCCAGGACGCTCGGCGTCGTCTGCACTACCATCTCGCCAATATCTTTCCCGAGGAGCAAGTGCAGGCTGCCATGGCGATCCATCCGCATGAGACCGACCCTCAGCAGATTTGCGCCGCAATTTTGGCGATGTTTCCTAAAAACTAGAATTAATGAAAGTCTCGAGAAGTGTATTTATAAATTGTCGACACGTTCAATCTGCAGCGTCCAATTGGAAAACTAATTTCACTACTAACTGTAATGTTCTCTCTTCGATTTCTGTGGACATCTCGTAGATTGTAGAGAGATCTTAATACTATATAAAGTACATGGTAATCTTGACCATCGCGTAGAGAGTTGCATCAAAGATGCCAATCAGTCGAGTGATTTAAAAGAAGTGATCAATTTTTGGAAATTCTAACATATCTGAAATTTTCGAATTTTTTAAAGATTGGACGCGTTTTCGTCCTGCTAGTCGTTGTGGGCCAGCATTTCGCGGACGGAGAACGCGATGATAAATAATCCGCGTAACGTGAAAGTCTAGAGGAATATCCTGATATGTCCTCGTAGATTTTCGCGTTATTTAAGAATGATTAACGAGAGTTGAATGATCGCGCATTTTTTTACAAGCGAGTTTCACGTCAGCAGGGCATTACAGCGCGAGTGTTGTTACAATATTCGGGGTGTAGGTGGTGAGAGAGAAAGAGAGAGAAAATCTGTATTTTAATCCGTCGTTTTAATCGTAATGAACTCGCGTCGGTGATCATCGTCTCACATTGAGCCGATCGACTTCTATCTTTTCGATTGCACTCGCGGAATCGTCTCGCGCTGTTTTCTCATCAATGTTTGTTTCTTGACAAGAAAGGAAAAAGATCCCAATTATATTTTTATAAGTGCATCGACTTTACGCGCGTTCGTCTACTGAGGTCAAGTCTACTGAGGTTCTTGATAAGATTTTTACAATTTTTATATTATTGATATAGTTATATACATCTTTTGTATAACTAGACACATCTGATTCGACGAACTTCATTGCTTATGAGAAAATTTTTCGAGACGATGTCGCGAACGCTGATCGTTCACATTAGCGGCTGTGAATTTATGGGAAGCCTTATACATGCATATATATATATATATATATATATATATATATATATATATATATATGTATATGTGTATATATATACATATATATATATATATATATATATATATATATAGACATATATATATATACACACGTATATATCACCCGGCGATATAATTCGTATTAAAACAGTACATAATATATACGTATATATGTACGCATGCGAAACATTTCGGTAAACCGAAACAAGATGAGTATATCGTACAAATTGTACGAGAACTAATTAAGACTTAACCGACTTCTTATATCGTTGTTTCCCGTCTCATATTGAAGAATTATATATTTTAACTTATTGGACTATCGATTACTTGACACGCGCACGTAAGAGCTGCGAATTAATCGATATATATATTAGTTCAATTTAATTGAACTCTCCCAAAACATAGGGAAGAGTCCAATGGATTTAAATTAATATTCTCATGTCAGATGTTTTTACTTGCGCAGCAAAACGTACCGCAATATTTTTCACAAATAAATGAAGAAGAAATCAATAATTAATTTGTTAATCGATACATGTGATTATAAATTTATTATATTATTTTACGATAAAATTTTATATCAAATTTCAAGGACTTCAGCTTTTCCGACAATTTTGTATTCATTGTCTATCTAACAAATAATCTACAAGATTTTAATATATACATATGTGTGTCATGTGTGCACATGTATATGGTAATCTCCTCTCGGAAGCACAATACCATGTATTGTTGAGAATCCGCGAGTTGCGAAGCGAATACTATATAAAGTATGTTGTATCTAACAAAGGTAAAGATAAACATTTATTACTCACACTGTGTAAACGATGAATGCGCGATAACCGTTTCGGTTGTGGAAGATTATTACTATTATTATTATTTTATTATTATTTTTATAATAATGTTAATCTATGAAATATTATATATATCGAGTTTGTATCAATGTTATTGCGAATGGATATTACGAAATAAATGTTTTTTTTGACTTATTTATTTGTTGGCTCTTCTACTATTATCTTGCACCAGTACTCAGAATTACATTTTTTAGGGCTAGCCTACTTTCTTCTCTTCATCTAATAACTGCAGTCCGTTGCTTTGAACAGAAAAGCCTTGATTTTATATTTTTGTAATTGAAATAGAGAAAATGAGCGTGAAAATGAATCAGGCTATTAATGACCCCCTCAATCGTCACAATGAATTTATTATAAATGCAATCACGTGTACATTATCTGCAATAAGAACGCAACAGAGATGGTTCTTCCTTAGATCGCATTATTTGTTATTGTAGCTCGCATATTAGAGATTTTTTTGTCGTAATAGCGCGTTCCGTTTACTGTAAATGTGAAATTTACAATCTGTGTGTAAGTAGATGATTATATATAAGTATTTATAGGCGAACAATTGTTGTCCTTTTTAAAATTCTGTAACAATTCTTCACACAAAGCTGTTTTTTTCAGTATACACAAAATATATATACCATTAACAATTATATAATTATCATGGCAACTTGTATGTTTACATTGAATACATTATTTCAGCATTTACCGTAATCGAAGTATGCTATTAAAAAAACTCCCTATCATGCTGTTCCAACAATATCATTATTCATCTTGATTTACAAATTACACTACCGCGTGTTTTTAAATTTCTGTTGTGAAATTGTTCTCTCCTTGCATATAATTCTAACATGAGTAATAAAAGAATAATAAGAATATCGATCTTCTAAATATACTAAGTTGTGAGTGTTTTAAATTTTATGCATTTTATATAACTGAACGAAATAACTTATCATTAACCGGAGTTATTTTATGATGAAAGTTCCTTGAATAAACTTTTTTTTTACTTGGTCCTGCTTCTATTCCTAAATGCTGATTGAAACTAATATAATCTCGTTATTATATCTCGTTGTTTATTTGAAAGAAATGTCACGGTAACTCCGGTTTACGTTATTAAAATTTTTAGAGAAAAGAGAGAAATCTGAAAATCTAGAAATTTGGAAATATACAGATTTCAAATCTTCCAAAAATTGCATTTTACCGTCAGCCAATTATAAGAGAGAATCTAATTTCCGATATCTCTATTATTTGCGGCTTTTTTGCAAATGTATAAATAATTCTTTAAATTATACGCCAGTTAAATATATATCGTACATCTGATAAAAACGCACAGTACGATATTAAAAATGATAGAATTAGAAAATTGATTAAAAGTCCGGTAGTCTGCTGCTCGGTTGAAAAATCCGAACACGACTCCTTCAATTTCTGATTTTGTTCTGCTTTACAATGTTCTAACGAATCAGAGAATTCTCTCGTAAAATAGGAGATACGCTTGACTCTGCAGTACCGTATTTTCATCCACTTCCGATACCCTGCAACGAAAACAAGTGGTGAAAATTCGTGGAAGATAAAAAATAGTATGATAATGTCGCAAGTATGATAAGTATTCCACGCATAATAATTATAATTGAAATATAATTACACTTACCGAGAATCTGATATATAGTACCATCTTCCAGGTGGCGGTTCCACAACGGACGTGGCTTTTGCCGACGCCTCCTCTCCCTCCGATTCTGAACTAGAACTGTTTGACGATTCATCTGCCTTAGCGTGCTTCTCCTTAGAAAGAAATGCCCAGCGGGGATCGTCTGGTGGTAACGGTAGTCTTGTCTATCAACAGGTATTAATAAATACAGTTAACTGAAATGTAACTGAAATTATATATACACGCACGTGTACAAGTAACAGATAATGTTTAATATAAATTGGCAAATTATCATATTGCTACTGAATTTCCCTTTTTACAAGACTCTATCTCTGAATTTTGCAATTTTGTAGTTTACCTTGACGTAAGCCACATAGTGACCACCGTGGACGCTCCCGCCATGCTCGACGACGCCGTAAAGTGCGTAGAGCCGGGGTTTCTTGTGACCCTTACAAACTGGCGCCAAGTCCAGCAATATTGGAAACGACACGTGTTTGAAAACCTTACGGACGCCAACTCTCTGCGTTTGAAATCTTTTCAAGTGCAATATCAATACAGGAGGTACTTGAGAGACGAGATACTGCTTGGTACTCGAAGTACACACCATTTTCGACAGACCTTCTTGTCCCTAAAAATAAAAGGAGGACAATATACATTGGTGTTACATTCAAACAGTGTATGGTGAATAATATTAATAACAATATGCAAGAGACGATTCCTCGTGAATAAATAAGTAAAACATATAAAATAGGAAGATAGTTGAAGGCGATTTTTCCTCAGCAATTGTACTACCTTTCTCTCACGAGATGTACATGCTTCGCACACAACTTTATTGCTTCCTGTCATTAGTTCCAAAGCAGTGAATTGATTTAAACATGATTCTACAGAACATTCTCCCTCCTTGGTCGAATATCTGCCGGGTGATTGTTGCCCACTAATACCCAACCTGGACATTCCCGTCATTATATCACCGATCCCGTTACACAAATCCTGCTTTTCAGGGTTGTCCCCGTTAGAAATTCCGTTGTTACATTTCCTTCTATTGCACCTTGGTAAAGTAGTTTCCACCCACGCTTCATCCAACCTAAAAAAAGTATTAGTTTAAAAGTGCAAATGTTCAAACATTCGTATTTTTTAAACTTTTCAAGAACTAGCGTTAAAGCTTATCAACGTTAAAAACTAAAAATTCCAAAAAAATTGTCTTCACCTCTCCGCAACATCACCGTTGAGAGGACTAGTGGAACTCTCTTTAGAAGCACTGGCGTTGCCATAGCTCACGGTCGACGCCTCTGAGCTTGTAACGTCGGAGTTGACGATCACAGAAGTGGACACAAGAGCAGCACCCGATACTTCGTTCTCCGGACTAACAGTACCGACGTTTTTATCTACTTTGTCGGACGGCATTCTGATTTGAGTCAAATCCGTCATAGACACGTCGGTTGGACTAGGGCTAGTTAATGCGTTAATGTTCGCCGATTGTCTAACTTGTGTTGAGTCGATATTGTTGTCTAGATTACTGTCCGGATTAGGCATGTCGCTGTTGAGATCATTGCTCGAGTGATGGTCAGTAGGAGATATGGGACTGGCGACAGCGGATGCCTTTTCCGAACTGTAACCGGACTCCCCGATCTCTGGATGAAAGTTGTCCACCTCGATGTTGTCCTCCACATCAGCGTCGCTCTCTTCTAGAAGAATCAAAATATATATTAAAAAAGATAAAGATAGGACAAAGTAGGAAAAAAAAGATTTATTTTTGTCAAAACCGATTTAAAAAATAGAAAATTCACAAGGCGTTCTTTATCTGAGACACCGTATCACAGAAGATCAAACATTATTACGTTATGAATAGATATCCCGTATATCTGTGGCATCAGGAATGGTGAAATGTGTTGCTTCAGGGATAAAAAGGATTATACCTGACTTCAGAACACTGTCATTATTTTCTTCCACAGGATTATTCGGCTCCATTAATATGCTAGAATTATTATGATTCTCATGCCTCTTATTCTTCCGGTTCTTCCTCGCTGCCTTCTTTTCCTTCTTTAGCTGTTTCCAGGATGTATCAGAAGTTTGCCAATCGCGGTGTTGAGTATTCATTGCGTCAAATGTATCCTCGAAACCGCTGTTCTTCCTCCTAAGTATAAAAACAATATTTCACAATTAACTTATAGATTAAATTGACAAAATTATGCAATTTGTGTATAAGGAAAACTGATTTAGTTTACAGTTTGGATAAACTGTTTTCTCCTTACTTCAAAATCGGCGGCTGCGGCTTGTCCGGTGTGACGGGTAGACTCAGATCCAGGAAAGGCTCGGTGCGCTGCGAAGAGTGATGGCAGTCTAGGCATTCCAAGGTAGATACTAGGACGCCCCGAAATACTACTTCCGGTCCTAATAGTCGCGTACTAGCCTGGTAACCGTAGAATTTTACCCGAGACTTTAAACCTTTCTCCACACCACCTGGATTCGTCTTTTCGCTTAGACCGACTTCTTTCAAGATTATACTCTGATATCTCTGAGAAAAGAATATGAAACTTTCATTTTTAAGTAGAATTCATTATTATAATACATTGAATATTCAGTTATTTTAGTTAGATTGATCTGACATTTGTTTAAGATATAGGACATTTATAAGTGAGAGTAATTGGTTGGAGATTTCGAATTGAGAAAGATAATTAAAGTTGAATATTAATTTTTTTCCCTTACTCGAAGGTCCTCATTCCGTACTATTTCTAGCAGGTGTCGTAGGAATTCATGCGAATCGTGCTGACCACCATCCACACACTGTGTGGTCTTCTTCTTAAGCTTGCAAAGAAGATTCGTAGGCGTGTATGTCTGATGACCATTAGTGCTCTGCATCTTTGACAAGGTTTCGCAAAGAACCGATGTGAAACTGCCCCATCGCTCCAAAGTACCTTCAATTGGTGGCTGCAAGTCAAATACAATATAAACATTGTATCAAATGTAGAGCAAATGAAAAACAAGATAAGCTATAGTCTTACATAGATAGCGTACACTATCTTACATACACCAGTATACTATCATGAATGATATCAACTGATTTTCACTGAACAATGAAAGATGATTACAATTAGAAAGCTTTTAAATATACCAATTCTACTTCATCTTCAGTATCAGCAAGCTTGTGTTTTCCACCTGGCAAGACAAATTTTTGCCCGGGTAGACGTAAGTCATCCAATACCTTCACTAAATAAGGAGTCTGTGCCAGACATTGAAGCACAGCATTGAAGAAGCAAGTATTTCCTAAGTTTACTAAGCCCTATTTCATAGTAAAAGAGATCACAATTACTATATAGGTATTAAAAATTTCAATATTTTTAATACTTCCAGAAGAGTATTAAAATATTCATTGTTTTATATTATTACGCACCTTGTATATTTAAAACTATACCTACCCCAACTTTGGGAAGACTGTTCAAAATTTTATGTTTTTCTTTGTCTTGTACATCAACTATCATTTCTTTTTGGCACTGAGTCACAGACATTTTCAATTGCTGAGGTATATGTGGCATGGTGACACATTTCTTTATGAATTCTACAATTTCAAGCAGTTTTTTCCTGTAAAAATAATAAAAATATGAATATATAATTTTACATACTAATCATAATCACATATATAATCATGTACTAATTATATAAAGCAAGGTTTACAATCAGGTTGCAGCAATGAGAACTTAAGCCATAAGTCCCAATCTACAATAGGTGTAGTGAGCTTTAAGCCGTAAGAAATTAACCAATCACAATTATTTTTTCTATAATTTGACTGTGATTAGTCAATTTCTTAATGCTTAAAGCTTACTACACCTATTGTAGATCGGGACTAAAACTTAAACTTTAAGCCTGAAGTTATAAGAAATTGACCAATCACAATCAAATATGAGGAAAATAACTGACAGTGATTAGGTAATTTCTTAAGATTTTAGGCTTAAAGCTTAAGTTTTATGACTTAAGTTCTCATTGTAGACCTTGCTTAACTGACTTACTTGCTACTAGGATGAACTTCAATATCGCACTGATAACACCAAACACTCCAATGATAAGTATCTGTCACCATGCAATGACAATCACTGTGAGGTCTTTTATAGTGATTGATAGCATGTTGTCCTTCTTCCTTACCACAACTTAATTCTCCACATTGTAAACAAACCCATAGTGGCTTTGTGATATGCTGAAAATCAAGAAAACATGAAAAATTCAGCTCTGATATAATATGTATTCAAACATTCCATGTTATTACCTGCTCATCCCCTTTCTTAAAATCTAGTTCCAACTTCTTACATGTAGAACATTCGTCAACACCAGTCTTCTTTAAGTTCTTTTTTACCTTTGTCAAATTGATAGCCTTTGCTATATGTGGACATTTCGCACCTACTGTGAAAAATAATCAGTACTATATGATTATAATTATTCAACTATAAGCCTAGAAGTAGTCAGTATTGTTCCTTCTTGATACTTCAGGTACAGATGCAAGGAATTTTTGGGAAATCAGTAATTCTTAAAGAAACTTCGAAAATTAGAGAAGCCAAGATAGTTTTAGAAGCTAGACACGGATTGTGTGCCTGGCGAGTGGAGAATTTGCGGATACACTCGCATTTCTAACCTGTACTCGCCTCCTCGCAGGACTCGGTGGAGGCTTCGCTGACTTCCGCGTTCGCGTCGGGTTGTCTATTCCGCTTCTTGCTCATCTTGCCGTTATCCGTGGACGGTTGCTATCGTCCGCGTGCGCGTTTTCCTACTCGCCACGCACCAGGATCACCTCGTTCGTCAGCTAATCCCTGACGTTCGCGTGCGGAAAAAAAACATGTGGAAACTCCGTGCGAGAAATACACAGAATACACACGCCAGTTCGCGCTCTGAAATATGAATCGATGATGACTCAGACGAGAGGGAGAAAACTCGAGTATGAAAAAGCAGACCTTTGTACTCCAGTGGGAGAAACTTCAACACGTTCCTAACGATAATTTCTCAAGTAGTTTAAACATCAAAAATACATATCTTTTTCTACCTTTGCACACTCTCGTGAGCAACATTTTATTTGAAAACAAATATTTACTTGCTTATTATTGAGTTATAGCAATGTTTGAAAATAAAGATCACATTAATTGAAAGGAGAAAAATTTACGAATTTTTATTTAGTTGTATTAATTAAAAATAAAAAGTTCTACGACTTTCCTGAAATAGTAGAATTCTATTAATCAGAAATAAAAGATCACACATTAACAAAATTCAACGGGCTATAACTTTGGCGAAAGTAAGATGATTCAAGAAATATTTAAACTTTGAAGTCTCCAGGTTACAGAAATATTTTCGTATATAAAGCTAACTTATTTTTACAATGTTTTATGAGTATAAGTCGGGATCCCACGAAAGTTAAAATTTTTCATAAAGTTTATCAAATTGCGCTACTTAAATAATATATTGCACACGAATATGTGCGTTTATATTAAAATGCATCTATTATATATTCGATTAAAATCAGTTTAATTGTAAAAAATAATTTGAAAGATAAAATACAAAATTGAGTGGTCACCATTTTTCATTTAATTCGATATGTTTTAATAGGGAACAGTGGTAAAATTATCTTATTAATATGATTAAAAACTAAAGATCTTAAGTTGTAAAACGCTTTTTGAACGATATCGATAGCGTTATTTTTGCCAAAGTTACAGCCCGTTGATTTGTACCTACTTTTCATGATAAAATAAAAAGATGTTTGATCCGTCGTTGAGTAGTGCTACTCAGAAAAAACTCTGAAAAATGAATATATGTCTGACCCCAACATTTAGTCACATATTACGTTCTCATTTTTATTTATTTATTTATTTTTTTATTAGGAATAAAGGGTGTACAAAAAGTGTACAGGTCTACGTGCTAAGTCTATCCGACCCTTACATAATACGAATTCGAAAATGAATACAGTTTTCTTAGGAGTATATACAGTATTAATAGTGTGTTGTGTATGTGTGTGTAAGTTATAATCTTAAATACTACGTCCTCAATTCTTGGTCAAAGAAAGTGAAGGCTCGTAGCGGAGAAACTTGAAACTAAATTTGCTTAAATAGCGGGTCTAACTTTAACTCTCAGGCAAACAAGAGTTAGACCTGTTATTCTTTGAGAGTCAAGGAAGTGAAGGCTCGTAGCGGAAAAGTTTGGAACTAAACTTGCCGAAATAATGGTCTAATTTTTGATTGGCCGGAAATCGAAATAACGGATCTAAACTGATTGGCTGAAAGTTAGACCCATTATTTCGAGTTCAGCCAATCAAACGTTAGACCCGTTATTTCGGCAAGTTTAATTCCAAATTTTTCCGCTACAAGCCTCCACTTTCCTTGACTAAAAATTGAGGACGTAATAAAGTCCCCAGTGGCGCAATCGTTAGCGCACGGTACTTATAATGAGGACGTAATATGACTAAATGTTGGGGTCAGACATACATTCATTTTCAGAGTTTTTTCTGAGTAGCACTACTCAACGACGGGTCAGACGTCTTTTTATTGTATCATGAAAAGTAGGTCCAATTCAACGAGCTGTAACGTCGGCAAAAATAATATTACCGAGATCGTTCGTAAAGTAATTTACTTATTGGAGAGAGAGAGAGAGAGAGAGAGAGAGAGAGAGAGAGAGAAAGAGAGTTTTTAATTTTTATTTATATTAAAACATAATTTTACTATTGTTTCTTATCAAGACATATCGAACTAAACGAAAAGTGGCGACCACTCTCTTTCAATTTCGTACCCCAACTTACAGATAATTTTTCACAATAAAAAATGATTTTCTTCGAAAATGTGCTGAATGCATTTTAAAGAGGAATCTTTAAGCTTTCTATTCATTTTCTAGTGAATATCGTACAATATTTCATCCACTTTCTATGAGCGACCAAAGTTGAAACGACTATTTTATATTTAACTTTAAATATTTCGGTGAACAGAAATCATATTGAGATCTGTATTCACGCAAAAGAGAAAGTTGACACTTTTAAGCGATGTAAACGGCATTTAGATATAATTTTTCTTTTACGCAGTGTAATTTGATAAACTTTATAAACAATTTTGATACTCTTGACGGATTTTTATATTTTCGATTTTATTATTATTCGCGTAGTATTAAAAAAAATAGATGATTATTATATTCAAAAATATTTCTGTAAATTAGAGACTTTAAGCTGTGAAATACTTCGAGAACCATCTCTCATTACTTTTATCGAAATTACAGCCCGTTGAATTTTATATATTACGAAATTAATAACTTCGTCATTTTTGTTAAGAAATAAATATTAATAAGATTAACAAAAATAAAATATCTACTTTAAAAGCAAGAAAGAAGTTAGGTAGTAATTTTATACGCTACTTTTATAATATTTATGTCTCGGAAGATACTTGAAATAAAGTAAAATATTTCACCCAACACAATAACAAAGATGTAAGGTTTCCTAACTCTCTCTTTCTTTTCTTAAATAAGACGGAAGCTTCATGGAAAAACAAGAAAAAAATAGAGAACCAGAAATAGAAAGTAAAAAGTACAATGTAGATCAAGTTTGAGATATCCAATGACCCAACATTTTGCAAATCGACGTTATATTAAAAATTTCATAATTAAATCTATCATTTCAGATTTAATTATGTAGCACCCTCTAATCAACGACGACGACGGCCGTGGTTACTCCGGCTGGGGTGCCTTCTACGTCGCAATGTATGATCGCCCCTCCTCTGAATCGTTGGATCCGAGTAGGGATGGGCGGCCGTCGACGAGCGCACTCTGAACTTCGCGGACACCTCGTAGATCCCGCTCGTCGGCTGGCTCGTCGAGGAGCGCGCGCGATTTTCGAGTTCTCCCGTGGGTGAAGGACTCAATGCCAGGACGTAGCCGGAAGGAGCCGTTCCCTTTGCCGAGGATCGACGATTAAGGTAAGTTACTCGCTATCGAGTTTTCTTCGAAAGTGTCTCTTGTATTTCCTTCTTTCTTTTTCTTCTCCTTCTTCTCTCTCTTATTTTTCTATTCTTTTTGTTGGGTTTTCTTAACGTCCTTTCCGTACCGCGAACGACCTCGTTTTTCCTCATCTCTTCGAAGACGCGTCGGGTCGTGACGAAAATACCACGGAGGAACCGGAGCTTCTGTCTCAGGAGTGCAAGGTGGCTGGCGAAGAGGAGAGCGCTATAAAATGGAATTAAATAGCGATTGTTATTTCGGGCTGAAGGCTGCGAAGTGTAATTAAACGTTAACTAGCTAAAGTTCCACATTGAATTGTAGTCTGAGACAATGTTTTCTTATCGCCTTTTGTTCGAGAAAAGAGCTTCTTCATACTAAATTCAATGAGTCTCTAATTTGTGTCAATCAAACAAATAGAAAGGAAACAAACAATTAACAAGCAATTATTTCAAAAGAATAAAAACATATATAACAATAAAAGTTTTCAGTGTAACGTTACTTAATTTGTTTACTTTATCTGCGTTTTGGCTGATAATTACTTCCAGTGAGATTTGTCCTCAACTTATAAGATTGTCACGAGCTATTTGGGAAATAACCAATTAATTAGATAATATAATTGGACACATCCTCTGATTAATATTTCTTCCCACTCTAAGGATATCAATTTAATATTTTTCACGTCCCGACGAAGCGCCAGCCTCCTCTCGTACACGTACGCGAATTCTAAGAACGGGCTTCTGCATTATAATGTCCAAGACGTCTCGTAAAGCTGTCACTAATATAATGATCGAAAAGCAAGCATAGATAACATAAGGAGGTGTGGCGGAGGAGACGAACGAAGCGACGACAAGATCTCTTTCAAAGTTACATCTCGATGAAGAAATTGTTGACGCGACGACGCGAAGGACCGTCAAAAGAGCGCAGAAGAGATCCGACGGCAGATGAGAGAGAGAGAGAGAGAGAGAGAGAGAGAGAGAAAAAAGGGAGGAAAAAAAGACGAAGGCACGAGTAGGCGTCCCCGCTGTGACGCGGAGGCGTTTTCGTCACGACCCGATACGTCGAGGAGGAAGGAAAAGAAGGGAAACTTCGAGCAGACGCCCTAAGGTTGCCGCGAAGAGATTGAGATCGCCGGTTGTCCCGGAATCGTCGATCACGATCGGGTACGCAGGGGGGAATTGACGACAGCGACGGGGTAACGCCGTCGCGATCGCGCCCGCAATCGTTCGAATCCGACGCGATTGATTGAACGACCGACCGACCGACCGACCGACCGACCGATCGATCGATCTCTCGTCGTTGTCGTTTCGTCTCGGCTCGGCGGAAAGCAAAACTTCTTCTTTCTTCGGGAGAAACGCCCGTAATAAGTGGTACGTCGCGCGAAGCAATCGTCGCTTCTTCGCAGTCAGTTTTCATTCAAGGTGTCTGACAATGCCGGATGCTAAGGCACTAGCCTTACTACTGACGATCACAACGTGAGCGGTCAGTCAGTTCCGCGGATCATCGGGGAGATAATGATTACAGAACAGACCTGGAGCATGATGCTGGACAGCGATGTCACGAGCATCAGCGAGTGAGTAGCGCTCATCTTTTTCGTCCCTTCGCGCGGGAAGACGAAGATGTGTCTCACCTGGTCGCGCGCGCTTCCGCATGTACGTTGGTTCGCCGTTGAATCCTCGTCTTCGTTCTTTCTTTGATGTGTCTCTCAAACGAGTCGCAGCTTGCACCTGGGACGGGGACATGTCGCGACACGCCGTGCGAGTATTCGTTCATCTCTCGTCTCGTCGAAACGCGCGCAAGTTTTTCGACAGAGATCGCGTGAAACGCACCGCGACGTTCGCGAGCTCTTCAACCTACGAACAAGCGAACGTTTTCAGACAAGTGCGCTTTATTATATCACATTTATTGGAAGATATGTCATACCTGTGTAAAACTATGCGCAATATATCTGGTTTCATGTGAAGGAAATGTGAAAGTTCGCGGTAATTTACAAAGACTCGATGCGCGCGCGCCCATTAATTCGAACAGAAAGACTATACTTTTTCCGCGTTGTAAAAAGCAAAAAGGAGAGAAATAAAGGTAAACAGAGTAACTCACTTTTGACATTTTGAAATCCGCGCGAAAATATTTTTACCCATTCCGCCGCAGTTTCTCGAATTTCCTGAATTTCCAATAAAGGATTAATGCCGGCGCGAAGCCTACCAAAGTCCAAATCAAACATCGCGCGACAATGATGTTCAGAAGTGAATGAAACGTGACACTTTGCGCGCGCGCGCCAAGTATATTATCTATCCGGCGAAATAGGTGAATTATAGATTTTGCCGATTATAATCGACGTTGAACAATTTCGAACTTTTGCGGGAAGACTCGCGTCGCGGCCAGGTAGAGAGGACCATCTTCGTCCTCGCCCAGATCGCTCTCGATCGCTCGATCCTGTAACCGGCGAATCGCCCGCGATCGCGTGACAGGTCGAGCATTTCGCCGAGGAAACAATTGTGGATCAAGGCGGTGAAGAAACTGACCTCTGAGAGGCTGGGACGGGAGGGACTGGCGGCGTGGGAGGACCGGAAGTCTAACAACGATTCCGAGGTCGCCGAAGAAGAGAAGGACATCAGCGCGCCCACCGAGGATGCCGAGGTTGCCAAGGCGGAACCGGAAGCCGCCGCGGAGCAGCCCGTGGCCGATGAGGAGGCTCAGACTCAACGCGGTACGGAAGTTTTCCACGATGAGATAGATCGAACACGAGCAATCTCAGCTCTCTTAGTTGCAAATTGGAGGAGAGCTTTCCTTGAAAGAAAATTCAGTTAATTAGAAATAAAATTGAACATAAACAGAGACACGAATATGTGTGGTTCCAGACGTCTTCAAGAGGGGAGTGCTGTACAAGGGGATATTCTGTCCCTCGCTGACCAACAGCTTCCACAACAAGCAGCTGGAAACATCCTATCTTCATTATTCGAATCGACAGCGGCAGAAGTCCCTGATAATGCTGAACATCGTGGATCTCGGTTTGAAAGTGAGTACAAGCGCCGTCGAATGATCTCAGATAAAAAATTAAATCAAGATTCATCCAGATCAGGGCGTCAGTCATGAATCTTTTTCACCTCAACTCGATCTTACTTTCCGATCATATCACTTTTTCTTAGTATGAAATTATGAGAAGTGAATAATCCTACAGTACTTGGAGGCGATTATAAATCTTTTTCTCCTCGTGTAAAATCGTGAAAAGTAAACATTTCTATATATTTCTAAGGTTCACTTTTTTTTAGAGAAAGAAATTCCCGACTGGATCAATCTTAGATTGCATTCTAAATTAGCTTGCAAGTCGAACGATCAACTCACTTGTTGAGCCGGTCTGTTGAACTTACTAACGCTATGGTGCAGATCACGTTGACAGCGATCTGGCTGTGGCAACGGGACCCGAACAGCGGAGGCCTCATCGAGTCCTTGTCCTGGGCCGCGTGCTGCATAGCGGCGAATCTGGTGGTTTGCGTGCTGGGCTGGTGGCGTTGCTTTTCTAACAATTACTTATACTGGGCCTCCATATTCACGTGGTTATTAATAAACTCCCAAGGTGAGGCCCACGCGACCCGTTTCGAGAGCTATCCTTTCTCATAATTAAACCACTCCCACTCGGTTCAGAAGTAAGTACCCAGATTGGTGCAAAAAGTTGGTCGTTTTCCCGTCGGGTTCTATTTTCAGCGAAATTATTTTTATAACTAATCAATATAATACCGTCTTTATTATCACAGTAATACACGCCGTTTTGAGTTCTCCGCCAAGAGGATTATCTGTCGAGATACAGAGGAAAAGAAAGAGAAAAAGAGAGAGAGAGATGTACTACAGGGTACTATCAAAGTCCAACTCTCTCTACAGGGGCGACTACAAGTATCGATAAATAATTATACTTGGCAGATGCACGTCGGGTGCATTTTGCGATATTTTTTCCTTTTCCTGTAAAACGATAAAATGATACACCTTTTGCACGTAGAACACACGACCGCGCTCGAGGTCGCCGCGATACAGCGCTATTGATTCCGTAGTTGAATCGAACGGGGCGTCTTGCTCTGCTGGCCAGCTAAAGTCGAGCGAATGTTCGACGGAGCGTAGAGCAAAGCGAGAACACCGAAACCCGGCAGGGATCACAACGTCGGCTCATCTACTTCAGATCCCGACGCTTCGATTCTCATGGCGGAGAACGCAAAGCTGATGGGTTATTCTTTCATATCCGACCGGGAGACAGATTCCTTATTTAGGAATTAGTAACAATAATTTTGATGCTAATTAGTTTCCTTTACATAACGGTAACCGCGACTCAAGTTCCCGCAGGCTCACGTCCTGATCCCGTCTATCGCATCCGAATGTGGCTGTTTGTAGGTTTCATAGGTGCCGGTCTGAACTTTACCACGCAGCAGAGACTCATATGGTACATACTCTTCATCGTGTACGCGCCATACGCGATGCTGCCTTTGCCGCTGCGATGGTGCGTCCTCGCTGGCTACGGAACGGCGCTAACACACTTGGTGATGGCCGGTATAAGTCTCCTACGAGACTCCACACACGTGAGAGAACACACTCTGTACTTTTTTTCATATTTTTCCGCTCTCTTCTCTCTCTCTCTCTCTCTCTCTCTCTCTCTCTCTCTCTCTCTCTCTTTCTCTCATCCTGCGTATAAATCGCAATATCTATTTCCTCCAAATTTCTTCAAGTAAAATAACTTGAAAGGCAGGATATGAGCAGAGTGGTAGTCGAGTCATTCGAATTCGAATGGCTTTTCACCTTCATCTTGAGTGAGATTTCAAGAAATTTAGAGAGCGCAAATGATAAATGCAGAGACAACGCGAAGAATAAACCGCGCGTGAAATTGTCGCAGCTACGGGACGTCGCGTGCATCGTTCGCATGCTGACGACGAACGTGCTGCTGTACCTGGCCGTGAACCTGGCCGGCATGTACACCAAGTACCTGACGGACAGAGGACAACGGCAGGCCTTCCTGGAGACGCATCGTTCGATGGATGCGAGGCAACACACGCAGAACGAGAATAATCGACAGGAGAAGCTACTGCTCTCAGGTAAATTTCGCGGGAGATTATTTCAGGCTGGACTCTTGAGCGATATTCTTAGATAGATGAAAGATACATCGCGGAATAAAACGATTAATGTGGATAAGTAATCCTGTATTATTTGAAAGATAAACAAACACCGGCACTCTGCTTTGTCTCTTTCTGCATTACACTATGAATAACGCGGAACATTCGTGGTATAATTGAGATTCTCCACGTTATTATTTTCGCGACGGACGATTTTAAGACAAGTACGTGACTCAGAACACGAGCGGATTTTCAAGATCAGCTTGACCTTTGCCCTAAAGCTTGGTCAAGGTTTATATAAAAAAAGAGAAATTGGAATTGAAGCGTCTCATCCGATCTGTTCGCGCGACTTGAAGAAGTCTTCGGGCTTCTTCAGGCGAATCGTTCAGAGGGACTCGAGAAATGATGTTGAACAGTTATCAATGCGGTCGTGTATCAACACACCCGCTTACTACATCCGTGCGCCGCGATTTTCGAGAAAGTCTCTCCCGCTTTCGACGAGAGAAGAGACGAAGAGAGAGCGCGCGCGAGGCAGGGGCGTAACTAGGCCCTGGTGTATTTATGTAACGACGTGTGCATATTTATTATAACACGCCGCTCGCCGGTCCGTGTAACTTGCTCGGCCGAGTGTCAAAAAGGGTCACTGGACATCTCGCGGCCGATTGCGCCGGACGCACGTTTTTCCGATAGCCTTTTGCGTTACGTCGCCGATCCCACCCGATATATCGATCCGTCGCGCGCGGTCGCTACGAAAATACCGCCGTCGAATAGATTACACCGGATTACATAAATACCGCCCGTATGCGTGCGTGCGTGCGCGCGCGCGCGCGTGTGTGTGTGTGTGTGTGTGTGTGTGTGTGTGTGTGTGTGTGTGTGTGTGTGCGCGCGTGACTGTGTGTGATTGTATGATGTTTGTATGCGACGTTATGTGCTTGTATAGTGCACCATGGAGTTGTTTGTTTCAGGAATGATACGCTGGAACACACGATTTTCTCCATCTAGAAAGGCAAACATTTGATCTGGCTGCACGTAGCTATAATGTATTAGTTCTGAAAGATCTAGATTCAACTGGCAAAACTTCATTTTTCTACTTAAACTGGTTTCCTGCGGGCAGGTTTCGAATGCGAACGAAACCTCTGCGTTTCTCGATTTTGAAAGCATTAGTTGCATTTTCAGTAGCAAAGATTTCCAGACAGTACAAAACGTCCTGGGGTTATCTTGGACGTACTCAGCATGTCCCAAGACGTTGCCCGAAACATCCTGGACACATTCAGAATGATTCTGAGACGTTTTGTGTTGTCATTGGTTAAGACAGAGCTGATGAAAACGTCTGATCCTCGCAGTCTTACCGGACTTCGTCGCCAAGGAGATGATCCGCGACATCGCGCGCGAAACCGCTCGAGGAGGAACGATATCCTTCACGCCGAATCAGTTCCACCGAATATACATTCACCGCTACGAGAACGTCAGTATCTTGTTCGCCGATATCAAGGGATTCACGGGTAATTAATGACAATTCAGTGTAACATTGCGTTCTTAAGACGAAGGGATCGTGTCGTGTAATTTCGCGATCAGATAACCCTATCAATGAAAAGCGTTTTTCTATTATCTACCGTGATTTCGAAGCTCTGGCGAGCCAGTGCAGCGCCCAGGAGCTGGTAAAGGTGCTGAACGACTTGTTTGCGCGCTTCGACAAGCTCTCGGCGGAGAATCATTGTCTGCGCATCAAGCTTCTCGGCGACTGTTATTACTGCATCTCCGGCCTGCCAATCGCCAGGAGCGACCATGCTCACTGCTGCGTGGAAATGGGCCTGCACATGATCAAGGCGATACGCGACGTGAGATTCACCACGAAGGTAACGCGGGCTTCAATTCGCATTTGAAAGAAAAGAAAAAAAGATGTTGTTTCGCAAATCCTTTGTTCTCATCGACAGGTGGATCTGAACATGAGAATAGGGATCCACAGTGGGTCGGTGCTGTGCGGGGTTCTGGGGCTGCGAAAATGGCAGTTCGACGTGTGGTCGTACGACGTCACGCTGGCGAATCATCTGGAGAGCGGTGGGATACCAGGGTAAACGAGAAAAAGAAATATTATGTTTGCAGACACCCATTCGCACCTATTTCCTTCCAAGCTTGAAACACGCGCTTGTTTCACGCGAAACGTTTCGTTAAACGCGAAGAGAGCACACTAAAATAAACTGCCGGGTGTCGCATGTCAGGTCTGTCGCCGCGTCGAAATTCCGGAGCGGAACAAGAAATCATTTCGTTGTAGGAGAGTGCACATATCCGCCGACACGCTCAAGTGCCTAAACGACGTTTACGAGGTGGAGCCCGGCTACGGTAGCGAGCGGGACAACTATCTGAAGGATAGGAACGTGGTGACGTACCTCATCAAGCAAGTCGAGCCTCTGCGGTCGCGGCGCAAGTACTCCTCGAGGCCAAAAGTCTTGTCGGAGGAGGACGCCGCGAACAAGAACAAGAAGAGCTTCAAGATGAACAACGCTCTACCCGCGAACAGCAATGCGCCCAACTCCAACGTGGACGACGACATTGGGGTCGACTGGACACCTGAAATCCCATTCGAGAATGTTAGCATTGGAAATGTCATAATAAGTCAGTTAATTAATTAAACTGATAAAGTATTAAAAAGCACAAATCTTCGCTTATTCTATTCGCAGCTGAACACGGCTACGTCGATGAGCAACCTGGAATCCGAATACTTGGAGGAGGAGAACGGCACGGCGAAGTCCAAAGCGACCTCGCCGACGTCCGGCGAGAAGAAGGGCGGCATCGAGACCGCCAGCAACAAGCGCATGAGATCGGCGAACATCAACACATGGACGCTGCGCTACAATGACGAGAGTCTGGAGTCCAAGGTGAAGTGGAGACACTACCGTCCGCACCAACGACATTTACCTGAAATAATAAAGAATATGTTATCAAAATTATTCACAATGTTTTATATATGTGATATACTGATCGCTCTATCTCGCATCTCTTGCGTTGCGCGTGCTGCAGTTCGACCAACTACGGGAGGACATGTTCAAATCCAACATGATATGCTGTTTCGTCATCTGGCTCTTCATTGCCATCTGCCAGGCCGTCATTTTATCCGAGTGAGTCGAGTCTCGCGGAAGAAACGCTTGGAAAAGCAACGCGATTAATTTTTCTCCTATTAATTTTAATTTTTATTATTTATTAATTCACACTTTTTAATTAATCGCAGCTGCATCATTCTTCTGATCTCCCTTCTGGTGACGACGGTTATCCTGGTGGCGTCGTCGATCCTGGTGATGGCTGAGGAGTTCAAAAGCATGCCGACGTACCTGCAACACACGTCGTCCATGTTGGTGCACAACAAAAAACACCGTACCGTCTTCATCTGCGGCGTGATCAGCCTGATGGCGTTGACGTCCGTCATCGGCGTGGTGACGTGCCCCATCACAGTGCGCCCTTACCCGGAGGTGATGGTTCTCGAGCAGCAGCAGCAGCAGCAACAGCAAATAACTACTTCGACTCCAGGGGTGCCGCTTCCCGTACAAGAGAAGCTGACCGCCACCACCACCAGCTCAGGCGTGGATCACTTCATCCTGACGTTCTTGGAAGCAGCCTTGAGTGATGAGCCTTCCGAAGCGCAGAAGACCGCGTCTACCAAGGAGAATAACACCGTGGAAGGGGATTCCAGCAATATCGAGCTAAAGCTGACGCGAGTGGTGAACGAAAAAGCGCCTGGAAAAAGCAGACGGGAGTTTTTCAGGTTCTTACGGTCAGTAAGAATACAGTTCTTTAGATCGATATTGAAATATTCGGAAACAAATGAAATTGATCGGAAAAATAAAAAATTTTATCTTTTTAGCGTTGAGCTATGTCTTTCTTTGAATGTTGGACATTTGTTGCGCTTACCTGAAAAAAAAAAAAAAGAGACCTTTGAGACACATAATTAATTTCACGTTTTCAGTCTCTCGTGCATAAGAAAATCCATCTTCGTTAATTTCATGAGTAAAATAAACGCGTTGTTACGAAGTATCCTGTACCTTGGCACTTTGTTACCGTTGTAGATATGAACAGCATTATGGAGCGGAAGGCGCCAGGCATTACCGACGAGTCGCACGAATACAGGATGAAGGTGGTCCGCAGAGGAGGATCCTCTCCGTCGACGAGAAAACTATGACCAGTGAAGAGCCGTTGAGGAGCATCGAGGATGGACTCGTGGTGGGCGGCTGCATCCGACCAGAGTACATGGTCTTTACATGGATTCTGTGCTTGATCGCGCTTGCCTCGGCTCTCAAGCTGTATTACCTGGTGAAGACCGCGCTGGCCGCGGCAATCGTGCTGGTCTACGCGGTGCTGATCCTCGTGGTGTGCAAGGATATGTTCTCCGAGGGAGAGCATAACGTGTAAGTTACGTTTTTGTTTGCGAAATCGCTGTTTCGTTCTCGCGAGTTACGCGAAGAGGGAAGATACGATTTCTTCATCTTTTTCCGAGTTTTGGATTCTAATTAAATTAAATTTGAAGACTGAAAATATAACAAATAAAAAAAAAAATTAATTCAATTCAAGGAGTACCTATACGTTAAACTGTCTCGATCTCTCTTTCAGATCGTCGATACCGCTGCCCGCGCAAATGTTGACGTTCCTGGCGATTTTCCTCGTGATGGTGACGTACCACGGTAGACTGGTGGAAGTGACGTCGCGTTTGGACTTTCTGTGGAAGCAGCAGGCCGAGAGGGAACTGAGCGACATGATCGAATCGCGCCATAATAATATGCAACTGTTAAAGAACATCTTGCCAGACCACGTGGCGCACCACTTCCTGACGCAGGAACGCGCACCAGAGGTAGACTTGAATATTTTCGCTCAACTATAATATTCAAACTATATAATAATAATAATACGGAGAAAAGTTATATTTGTAACGCAAAAATTGTAATAATTTCGGAAGAAAATATCCTAATTGCTAACTTATCGACGCAGGAGCTCTATTCGCAGTCGCGAGACAAAGTCGGCGTGATGTTCGCCAGCGTGCCAAACTTTACAGAATTTTACTCGGAGGACGTAAACAAGGGAATGGAGTGCATTCGTTTGCTGAACGAGATAATCGGTGCGGCGATCATTTAATGTTATGAAAAGATCAGCATTTGATTCGAGATATATTATCGATACTTGCTGACATCTTATCCGTGTGATAATTATTTTCAATTTGCAGCTGATTTTGACGAGTTGCTGGACGAGACGCCATTCCAGTGTATCGAGAAGATCAAGACGGTCGGCGCCACTTACATGGCCGCGTCAGGACTGAATCCCAGTCAAACCGTAATAACAATTATAATAATAATAATACGCAAAACTCGACGTTATATGACGTGATAATATATATATATATATATATATATCGTTCATCAAGATTTCACTTCGAAACTATTGATTTCTTCTCGATGAAAACGCCAATAATTAATCGATACCTTTGTCTAATTGAATAATCAATTTGGGGTTGTGGCAGAACAAGACAGGCGACAATATGGAACATCTGTGCCGACTGGTGGACTACGCAGTGGCTATGCGCCATCGTCTCGAAGACGTGAACGTTCACTCGTTCAACAATTTCGATCTCCGAGTAGGCATCAGTTGTGGTCCCCTCGTGGGAGGCGTGATCGGAGCCCGCAAGCCGGTCTATGATATATGGGGCAATACTGTGAACGAGGCTTCGAGGATGGACTCCACGGGCGTGATGGGGCAGATACAAGTGCCGTACGACATCGCCAGGGTATCTATCATGATGAATCGTACATGAAACATCGAAAATCTCTTCTTGCCGCAGGAAGAAGTCACTTCTCGATGATTTCCACCGATTACATTCTCACAAACAGAACGAAGGAGAGTCAACTAAAGCATTTGGTTTTAATTAGATTATTACATTTTTCAATTAAAAAGAATAAAATTGAAGAAATTCATGACTTTGATATTCGCGGAATAAACCGAGGAGTAACTCGATCGACTGTAATATTTCGAACTTTCGACCTTCCCTTCGGATACCATTCTGTGTAACTAGTAATATTTGATCTAATCGATCAATTTGACTTGTATTGATCGTCGTGTATGTGCACAGTTTCTAGAGTCGCGGGGTTACCAAACGCAAAAACGCGGACTGATCGAGGTGAAGGGGAAAGGCACGATGGAGACGTACTTTGTACTGGGCAAGGGCAACCTCCAGCAGGAGGGTATCTCCAGGCACAGGAGTACCTGCCGAAGTCTCGCCGCGGTGGTCTACGGGGTGGTACAGGCGCGTCGCAAGCAGATCAGAGCGTTACGAAGGACGTAGGTCATTTAGGCTCGTCCCGATGCAGCAAATTTGTCGGACGAAGCTGAAGAGGGTATGGGAGGAAGGCGGGGGCGTAGTTTCAAAGCAATTTCCATTAATCAAGTTTACTACCTCCTTAGCTTCGGTACACTTCCTCTTTGTTGGTTTTAGTTCCAGTCGAGCTGATCGATTCGATCTGATTCGGAGTATGATACACTTCTCAAGTGAGCCTCGATTTGATTCGAATTCGAATCTTTCTCCTGAAATAAATATGACCATGAGAAACAATAACGAGTGTCTTCACGATTTGGACGATTCTTGAAATTGGATTTTCGCACCGTGATTTTGGTAAGCGCGCGCGGAAAATTCACTTGTTATCATTGCGATAATAATACCCCGACCAACATACCGTTATTATTACTACTATTAACAGAGGAACGATAACTTTTCAAGCACCAAGCTTGTCGAATATGCGCGACGAATGTGGATACTCGAGTATACGGGAATGTAAAAAGAGTCGTCGTCCAATTTTATTTCCGTGTCATTTTATCAAAATGTGTTGAATGTATTGTATATAGCACTTATATAATAAATAATCGGTCTTATAGAGAAGAGTTATATTTTCGTTTTCTCCACTCGCGTTACCAATCCTCTAAATACATCGTAGGAGTTGAGAATATTTCTCACGAGAAATCTTCTTATACAAGATACAATCAACGATTCGCAAACTTTCATTGTTTTGTGGTTAATAAATCGCGGATATTTTGACGATAACAAACATGAGAGAACTTCAATCTGTCAAAAAGCAATGTGTCTCATCATCGAGACAAAAATTTGACTGCAAGTGTAATTAAAAAAGCTGGTTACGAAGCGATTTCAATAGCAAATAATTTGCCCCTGCCATAAGTTTGTCAACGTTTAATTATCAAAGCATAAGTTATTTAATGACAAAATAAATGAATAATCGTCGCTGTACAACGCGTTGGATTGGTAACATTCGCGGAACGTTTCGCTGCAATAATAAATGGGAGCATTATTATTGCTATCATTGTCATTACCATTATTATTATTATGGTAATCGGTAGGTGGAAATGCAACACACACACGTCTGGCTCCGTGTAACCGTATATTACATTATTATGGTAAACACAATATTTATAATCAATATTTATAATCGTAATAATAATCCATGATAATAATGGCAATAATGATAATAATAAGGCTAGCTACAAGGCGGCCCGCCGCGATCCAGCTGAGCCGCCACTCTTCGATTGTGACTGTACACTTTTACAACATACTCGTAATAATAATCTAATTTTACATTAATCATTAGATAATTCATTACAATACGAACCTAGTTAGAAGAATGTCACGACACGTAGGAAGGACCGCGCGCCTTATCCCTCGGATTACACGCGTTTTCCTCTCTTTTCTAATTAATTCGTTAATTAATTAATTAATCGTTATTAATCGATTATCACACACCGATACTCAGCAAAAATCTTGCACCCTCCGAAAAAACGCGTCTTTTTCCTCTAAGAAAGGAAAAAAGATCTCGACTACATGATTTTGTTTCTTTTTCCACACATAGGATCCTCAAATTTCGGACGAATTATCATCGAATCGAATGCCACTTTGGACGATGCTACTATAAAAGAAACGTTATTACCCTCCTTCTTAACCCATTAACGGCCAACGTCTCATTTTTTTTCGGAGACGGACAATAATTTTAAATACACGATTATGATAAAAAAAAAAAAAAAAAACAAAAAAAAACTTCAGCGATATAAATATAATTCCTCTACTAAAATTACCTGCAGAATTTACTTGCCCAAACGTTAAATTAGTAATCAGTATTTGACGGTTCTCTAATTAAGCTTAAAATTTAATTCCCATGATATATCGGTCCGAAATCAATTATAAATAAAGCATAAAATCGATTGCGATTTACAACTTTGAGATTCGTCGAAATGCAATTGTGGCCTTTAACGGATTAACAGAGACAACTTTTTTTGTCAGGAGTGCGAAAGTTTCGCTCGTACGCGATTCGACGGTCCGAGGGACGAAAGGACTTGTCTCTTTAAGATACAAAGGCACTGTACACACGCAACAGAAGAGCGCTAAAGAGGCGGCCCGGATGTGCCCTTTATCCTCTGGTCTTGCCTCTTTCGCGCGTCTTTCTTCTCTCATTCTTCTCTCATTCTTTCATTCTCCCATTCTTTCTCTTTCTTTCCACGACAATAAAACGTGCCCTGTTTAAAAATATCGCTTCAATCTATCTGTCTGTTTGTCCGTCGTTCAAAATTGCCGTAATACGACGCTTAAAATAGCGGGAGCGGTTTCCTTCGTTTCTAGCTGCATTGGTCGAGACTACTTCTCTCTCTCTCTCTCTCTCTCTCTCTCTCTCTCTCTCTCTCTCTCTCTCTCTCTCTTTCTTTCTCTCTAACTCTATCCTTCGTGACTCTAAATTAGTCTAAGCTTTCTTTTTTAAGGAAAATAGATGACTATGATCGGATTGTTGAATGCGCGGTAACTATTTATCATTACGAGAGGGACGGGGGAGGTGAGGGCCGGTGGGAGAGAAATTGCGAGAGGGGGGATGAGAACGATTGGTCAATGCGATCAGAAGTCAAGAAAACGCTCCTGGTAAAGAGGTGGGATATCCGCTTATCACAATTTGGCAGTGAACGTTTTCACGTTGTTGAGAGATACAGCTTACAACGCGTGGTTGCCATCTTCGAAAGCTATACACATGTAGTATACTGACTGTTAACTAAACCGGTTCGCTATTATAATTAATAATAACGCTACGCTCTTTACGCTCCTCTATACAGATTTCCCGTCTTCACACGTTTACACAGATGCGCGTCTATATCTTGGAGGAGAACGGAACAATGTGCATTCCTTTCAGAGACTTTTCAGTGCGCAGAACACGTCGGGGAATCGAGTTACACGTCGAGTGATAGGTTGATACTTTGACACTACACTCATGCCACCCACATTCGTGCGAATATAATCATTATGCGTTAAGTTTGTCCTTACAGTAGATGCTCTCTAAGATGAAAAGATCTCGTCTCATCTTTTGCATTATATTTATATATTGGAGGAGTATTAACATCAGGCAAGAGAGATCAAGCATTGAACACGTATTGGATAGTAGAATTGGAAGCTGTAATTCTTTCATTGGTATATATGGTTTGTAATCTGACTCTGTATATACTTTATACACGGCCACGTGTGGCGGCCAAAGAATTCGTGCGTAGCTCGAATTCAGGCGTGATAGTCAAAGTGTTGAAAGAACTCAGTTCACGGTTGAGCTTGACGTGGAATCACTCAACGCGGAAATTCAAAGGCCCCTCTGGTCAAGAACGCTGAAGAGACGAACATCGGTCCGTTTCTCGACACTGATACAGATACGCACAGCTGAATTGAGAAAAATATTACCTCGCTATATTATTCCATCCGTTGCCACGGACCAAAAATAAGTTCTCGCGTCTGCTCGGTTTTACAGTTCGGTTAGCGTGTACAACTTAAATTAGTAGTAGTTTATAGCGAAAATATGCATTTTTCTCTCCACATATCCTCCTCCGTTTTCTCCTCCTCTTCTTCTTCTTCTTCTTCTTCTTCTTCTTTCTCTCATTTAATCCTCCACGGAGAGATCAGTCCCGGGAAGAAATGCCCAATTCACTTTGGGGATCAATCTCGCTTTGTCGATTGCTAGTTCAAAATCATACTGGTCCGTGGAGGATTAACGAACGCCTTGTGTCTTGTTGTTTAGTTGAAACGACGAAAGTCGCCGGGTACGCGAGAGTCCTTTGGAATATCATTCAACTCCGGCGGACTCGCCGAGATATCGAACAAACGCGCGCGATCGCGACGCGAACGAACGGTCTAATTCCTTCGGCTACGAAGAAGAAGCTCGCGAGCCTCCTACCTGTGAATTCGCCTAGTCCCTAACGCTGTTACATTAAATATATAAATAAATATATATATATATATATATATATATATATATATATATATATATATATATATATAT